CTACATGGGAGTTCAGCAACATAGCCATTACACCAACTGCTGGTCCCTGTACCATTTAGTTATTTCTTTCTACCATTGCCTTCTCAGTCACCCTCCTCTGGGTCTGCATTTCTGTCTCCGTGAAGCTGAGTGAATATCACCCTTGCCAGGAGACTATCAGATTCCAGAGTTTGAGAAAATTGCCAGGAGCTTGTTTATTAAGAGCTTATGACCTTTTTTCAGTGATCTCTGGAGATGAAGAACTTTGGCTTCCTTTTATTCTAGTGATTTGACTGACATTTTCATTTTCTCTGTCTTGGCCTCATTTCAGCTGCAAGTCTTTAACACATGACAAAAATGGGTCATGTCAAGGGTTCGGAACATTTAGAACCAAGGGTCTTGGCCCCTGAGGCTCCAGCCCTGATGCTGCAACTCATCGACTTACGTTTTTCTTCTCCCTGGTCTAAGGAAGCAGAGACTTAGTGCCAGGAAGGGGCCCGCGTGAGGTCTGCAGCCAGGTGTGCTGTCTGCATTGCTGGACGCTGAGCAGGCTGAGCCGCCTGCCCTTATGCTCATTGGCAAGGTGTGTGTCCTGTAGTCATTCACGGTTACCGACAAGCTGCTCCGTGCCGCCATGGCAACCACCAGTAACCCAGCACTCGCCCGATCTTTAGGGTATTACGGGCCTTCCAAAAGTTCATGGAGAGTGTGTCTCTGTCTCTCTCTGGCGGGTGCATGCAGCCTACAGCATAAAACCAAAACCAAAACGAAAAAAGGGAAAACGTGTATATGGAAGAACTATGCATGGATATCATGTTTTTCACCAAAATAAACTTGTACTTTCATTCCACTTTGCCACAGACTTATCGAGGTCTCCTCATGTTATCTTGTTTCAGCCTCAGAAAAACTGAGTAAATAATAATAGTATAATAATAAGAAAAAGAAGCTATCACAACAGTGGTTGATCTTGTTATCTTTTAATTTGCTGGAGGATACACGTGCCACTGAGGAGAGAGAGGGTGAGAGAGAGAGAGAGGAAAGTGAGAAAGCACGCAGCAGGGGGATGGCCACATCACAATCCCTTCTCCTGCATTTTCCTTTTGAGATTTTGAATACACGTGCACACGCACCCAGCCTGTTTGGTAAGCTCAGGGTCCAGACTCACATTATGCTGTCAGCCACGTGGAATCCAGCCGCCCTCAGCTCCAGACCACCTGGCCGACCCCAGGAGTGGTTAGTCTTTACTGAGCACGTTTTATTTGCAAAATCTTGCACTAAGACTTGGACTAAATTAGTTTAGTCCTCGTAATAATCTGGCAAGGACGAGTTGTTTCCCCATTTTCAGATGGCAAACTGAGTTTCAGAGAGTTGGCTGGGGTTTACGAGTCACACGACTCCTATGAGGCCGAGGCAGGATTTAAACCCAGAGAGCTCTACCCCAGAGCCAGTGATTCTAACCACCATGCCGTTCTGTATGAATATATTACTATACAACTATGGTAGACGTCACTAAGTGTAAGAATTTATTCGAATAGAAATAGATCTCTGGGGTAGCGTAGCTTGCAGGTGAATTACAGGGTCATTGCACCCCGCCCCCACTTGCAGTGGCTAGGCTTTTCTCCCGTCCGCTGACAGCCCTCTCCATGCAGGCTCTCCCCGTGGCAGGGCTGGAGCAGGCTGAGGACAGGAGCAGCTCTGCCGTGAGGAGGAGGGTGTGCCTGGTCATCGCAGCTATCTTGTAGAAACACGGCGTTGGCCACTGTATTTACAAGAGAGAAGCTCTGCTCTGAGGGAGCAATCACACATACAAAGTGCTCATTAAAACTGGTTTCAGGTGCCAGTTAGCAGCACAGTGGTCAAAATGGCATTCTCTGAGGCAACCTGCCGTGGAAAGGTTCCCAGTTCAGGTCCAGAGACCTCACTGCATGTGCTGGGCATGTGTGAACGCATGCTCCGGGCCGGCAGAAGCTGTTCACAGCCTTGGGGCCCTGTGGGGCTGTGGCCTCTCTTTCGTTTTTGTTCATGGAAGAATACATAAACTTCTTTTTGGTTAATGGTTGTAATAGCAAAAAGCTGGGGATCTTGGTGTCTGACTGAAATGGCAAGTGCTTAAGCTGGTTACGGTCCTCGGCCTCCGTCAGACATTGTGCGGCTGTTTACATGACTGTTTCGCTTTTGCAAAAGTTTTCTCATCTGTTCTTCAAAAAGGTAATCTGACCTCGGGACCAGCAGTCAGCATAATGGCTATGTCACTGGACTCCCATGGAGTTGTCCATGGTTTGAGTCCCGGACCCGGTGGCTTAAACTCATGCCCGGTGCGTGTGGGTGTGTGCCCAAGATCCTGAGAGGACAATGGAGGAGAAGGGACTGCAGTGTGGCCATCCTCCCTGGGTGGTGATTTCTCACTTTCTGTCTCTTCTCTGTCTTTCTGGCGAGCGCACGCGCCCTATAGCAAAAACCTCTCCAAAAAAAAAAAAGATCATCTGACCTGACCTCCCTGTAAGAATCACTCTTAAACTTGGATTTGTTTCTTTCCAGTTTATATCTGTATCCATTTATAAAGGGTACAGATTTATATGTATAATGCAGTATCCATTACAAAGGAAAATGATGAAGACGAAGTATTAATAGCAAAATTTAAAACTACTATAATAAGTAAATAAGCAAGATAAAAATTATAACAACTATGAGAATAAATAAATACACAGGAAGAAAAATTGGCAAGACCTACACTAACATTGTAATGGTGGTCATCTGGAGTGAGAGACGTTGGATTTTCTCTAGTCCCTTCATTGCACTCAGAGGACACGTGGATCAACAGTAAGAAACTGTCCGGCACACCAGAGCCCTAAACTAATAAAAACTATTCCTTACGAATACGATCGGACCTATGCAAATGTTTCCTCTCAATCCCTGCTACTCAGGGTGTGATTCTTGAACTAGCGGCATCAGCATCTTCAGATAGCTCCTTAGAAATAACAGGCCTCCACCCAGATCGGCAGAATTAGAACCTGAGTTTGACAAAATCCTCACGTGATCCCTGTTGATTTTGAAGGTTGGGACACTGCTCTAAATGACGGCCTTTCTGGTTTCTGGAAGGGCAGAGTTTGGTCATCGATGGCATTGCTAATCTAAAACTAACGTGCAAGTAGAAAAAGGTGGTGAGGGCATTGGTAGATGAGAGTGGAATGGATTTTGGAACTTTATCTGACACATGGAGAGGCGAGAGAGTCAACCTGGGAACCCGAGAGAGTTCCTAGACTTCGTGCGGTCCCTGGGGCTGGTCTGGATCTCTGGGATACCGAAGTGCTGCGTCTCCACTAGCCTTTGCTCTGGCTCTGTCTCCCAAGCTCCTCTTTGGCTACACACTGATTTGCTTTCTAATTTTACTTCAGGGAGAAATTGCCTTGTCATTTGTCTGAAAGGTTCTTTTTGAGAGTTCTTTGGTTCTCACAAAAATATAATAGATCGACTTTTCATAATACACGACTCACAGACTGTGGTATCCAACCTATGGATTTATGTTTTATTAAAAATTGTAGACCAGCAACCTTGTGAGTTTGTAAACCTGTCATGGTTTTGGTTTGTAAATGTTTATGTAAGAGAGACCGACCAACTTCAAAGAGTTACTAAGTAAAACCACCAATCAAATTTGGAGGATTCAAACTGTCTAAAAGTTCTATTCTCTGCAAGACCCTGTCGGGGTAGACATAGTCTATTTAGAGGAGATGTAGGTGACTCTTAGAAACTACATTAATGTCCATAATTGATTCTTTAAAAATTGAAATATAAAAGGGTACAAAATGGGAAGGATAGTATTTTACAGTTTATTCCAGGAGTCCTGATTTCTTGGCATATTGCTATTCACAGATACTTCTAAATTATTGTGCTTTTGCCTCTTCATACCGGTTTTGAGAAGATAATGTGGCTTAATTTTTTTCCTTTATAGAATGAGGTCTTTTTTTTAAACATTTTACATAGTGTCCTCAAAGAAGATCATGCCCTAGTATCTAGAGCTGTGTCCACGACCCTGGAAAATTTCACAGAAACGAGTGAAATTAGTGAAGTCTTTGACCTATTTTCATACAGCAAGGTAAAAGCAATTTTATATTTTCTTTTGTTTGGTACTTTTGCAGAAAATTTAATAAAATGAATATTATAAATTATAGATTAATATGAACTTAAAGTTTTTGATGCAAGTAACCATAATTTTATTCACTAAGTAGGTTTCAGAAAATGTGGTTAAATCAGTTCCCATCTATTAAATGAAAATCAAGCCCATATTCAACTCTTGGTATCATTTACCATTATAATTAGAAAAACTGCAAGTTTTAAGGTGAACCCTTCTGTCTGGTGGAAATTTATTCTTACCATGTAAATATCTCACTTTTTAAAATTTGTGTACTGCGAGCTTTTTTTTTTTTTTTTGAGGTTTTTGCTATAGGGCGCGTGTGCTCACCAGAAAGACAGAGAGAGACAGAGAAACAGAAACCGAGAAATCACCCCCCAGGGGGGATGGCCACGCCGCAATCCTTTCTCCTCTATTCTCTTCTTGGGATCTTGGGCACGCATGCATACGTTTAAGCCACCAGGTCTGGGACTCACACTGCAGTCGACTACATGGGAGTCCAGCAATGTAGCCATTACACCAACTACTGGTCCCCGGTGAACTTTTTACATGTAGGACATTTGCTCTTGTAATTAGACATTTTATCTAGTAATTAGGGACTATTTTATTAGCATATTTGGGGATAATTCAGACCTTCAACTACAGTGACAAATGCAATCAAGAACATAGCCCAGAATGTATTGGGTCATCGGAAAAGTCGTGATGTATGTTTTCCTATGTTTTTCTATGCAAACTATCTATAAAAATGGAATAGGTCAGTATTTGTGTATTGAATTGTGTTCAAGTGACTGACAGCTTCTTATGTCCTAGGGAGCATCCCTTGCCCAGATGCTTTGTAATTTCCTCAGCGAGCGTTTATTTATCACTGCAATAAAGGTGAGTTCACAAAACACTTGTTACCTGGGCGGCAGTCACTGTAAATTGCTTGGGCATGTTATTTATCTTAACCATAACTTTTCTACTTTTACAGTCCTATTTGGGAACGTTTTCTTACTCGGGTGCTGAGCAGGATGATCTGTGGAGACATTTTCAAATGGTAATTGTCTGCTTTCTGGCATGTCCTTGCTGAGTCACAGTGCAGGTTGGGAGGTGCAGCATTCCCCATTTGGCAATTCCATGGGAACTGTGAAACTCCCTTTGGTCCGGAGCTGTGTCTTTAGTCTTCACGGTATTCAGAGCCCAGAGCAGAGCCTGGCACAGTAGACTCACACGTGTGTCTTCAGCGAGTGGATGAACAAACTAAGGAGTCTTTTACATAGAAGGGCTCTGAATTTGGTCCAAAACATCATCCACTGGAGATCACTGCTTAAATGAGGAATAGCATAGTTACCGCGGGGCCGGCAGGTGGTGGATGGTTAAGGGCACTGGTCCCACATGGCTGACCACGGTTTGAGTCCTGGACCTGGCGACTTGCTTTCTCACTTTCTCTCTCTCTCTCTCTCTCTTTCTCTCTCCCCCTCTCTCTCACTAGCTTGCTCTCTGTCAAAATTAAAATAAATAAATAAAGTTAAATAAAATAATTCATTCTTTTTTTTTTTCCTTAAAAGAACAGCTACCTAATTTCTTTTAGGAGATTGCTATTGCCAAAGGTTTTGCAAACAATATCTGCTTTTCTGATGATTTTTACAAACAGGCTGTAGATGACCAGAGTAAGATTGTTTTGCCAACAACAGTAAAACGTATAATGGACAGTTGGACACACAAGAATGGTTTTCCAGTGATCACTTTAAATGTATCTACTGGCATCATGAAGCAGGAGCCATTTTACCCCAGAAAGGTTAAAAATCAGACTCTTCTGACACGCAAGTGAGTAACTTCCCTCTTCTTTGTCTTTCTCTTCCTTGGAGTTGAGCTTGGATCCAGTGGAAACAGCCCTGGAGGTAAGGAAGCCTGCCACCTGCTGGACACATTCTCTCTACAGAGGGATGGACATTTCTGCCTGTGAGGGTGAGGCAGAGCCCCAGAGTCCTAAGCAAGGCTCTAAGTGAACAATTCAAGGCCGTCCTTCCCCAGGGACTGAGGGGGTCCCAGCAACCAGCACTTGAGGGCGTTGTGTATACCTCTGCATTCTTCAGACAGAGGTCGTGAATTACTTGGGATTCTGGGTGAGGCGTACTAAGAGAGGGAGCCAGGGGTGGCCACATGCCAGCTAAGAGGAAAGGGAGGCCTGATGCAGAGCAGCTTTTCTCCTCTGGACGTGGAATGGAATGGTAACTATGTCCTTGAGGAGCAGTCTCTGCATGTGCGTGCACATGTATGTGCGTGCCTCTGTGTGTGTGTGCAGGGTTTGTAGCCAAACTTACGACATTTGAATTACACCCTTAAATTAGTTAGACCTGGGTTCAAATACTGTCTCTACCAAAATTCAACCCTCAGGTAAGCCCTACTTAAATTATCTGAGTTTCAGGTGCCTCATTTCTGAAATAAATGTAGTAGCACATATCTCGGGGGGTTCGTGTTGTATTGATTTTTTAGATCATTTTAAACACTTTTTGATAGTTTTGATACTCCTCATTATAGTAAGTGTCAGCACAAATGAGAAATTAGTTTTCCTATACCATCACCAAAGCTTTCAGGTCATCCTACTCTTTTTTTTAAAAAAATGGTTTCATTTAACTTTCTTTATTCATTTACTCAGTTTTTAACTTGACTGGAGAGGGACAAAGCAAGAGAACGAGAGGGCGAGAGGGAAAGTGAGAAAGCAAGCCGCCAGGTCCAGGACTCGAACCGCAGTAGGCCATGTGAGAGTCCAGAGCCCTTAACCAGCATGCCACCTGTCGGCCCATTTTACTCCTTGTAAAAGACAAACAAGAGACCAAAGTTTCCTTCTCAGTGTAGAATTCTGTGACGTTTGAGAAGTGTGTGTCTTGGCCATGTAGAGAAATACAGACACACAGCTGAACGATTTTGAGAAGCCAGTCTTGTGAGAACTTGAGCAAAACTGGAAATGTTGCCCAAACTCGGCAAGTAGCATGTCTTCCGACAACTGATGTGCTTCCTGTGGCCAGCCTCTTCGTCGGATCACGTCTACAGTGTGGGAAGCATGTCAGCATTAAATAAACGTAAATTCCTAGTTCCTGTTGAAAACTTTTCCTATGGGAGAGAGCTTGACGCAGAAAAGTGTTTTGAAATGTTCACTTTTGGGTCTGTTGGCAACATTGGAACTACCCTCAAGTGAGGCCAGCTAGTTTAACATCAACAGGCCCTGAAGGTTTCAGATACAAGATCTCAGTAGCTGCTTATGTCAGAAGAAAATCCACAAGACCCACGAGAGGACTCAACAGCTGAAGCAAAGCCGCTAAAACGACAGTGAATAATCTTAGGAGCTCAGTTCTGCGTATCCAGGGAGAATGGCTAAAGAACTTGAGCTCTGTTTGTGGTTTTAGTACCTCTGTAATGTTGGCTCCGCCTGAGTATTCTTGTATATGTAAATTAATTAAAGTTTCTCTTTTCTTCCGACAAGTGACACATGGATTGTCCCTATTCTTTGGATAAAGAATGGAACTACACAATCTCTAGTCTGGCTAGATAAAAGCAGCAGTAAGTAACACATTTGAAAAACATCTTCACATATGTACATATATAAAGACTGAATAAAAAGGCTAGCTTTGGAAAGCAACCTCAAAAAATATGTCATTCTTGTTGAACATAGAGCTTTTTCTTATTTCTAAGGGAGACTTTTTGCTATAGGGCACGTGCGCTCACCAGAAAGACAGAAAGTCAGAAAGGCAGAAACCGAGAAATCACCCCCCAGGGAGGATAGCCACACCGCAATCCTTTCTCCTCCAATCACCTCTTGGGATCTTGGGTACACATGCACACGTGCCAGGTGTGAGTTGTTTTTTTTTATTTTAATAATTATTTTATTTAACTTTATTTACTTTTTGTTTTAATTTGACCAGAGGGAGACAGAGAAAGCAAGAAAGAGGGAAAGTAAGAAAGCAAGCTGCCAGGACCAGGACTCAAACCATAGTCGACCACATGAGAGTCCAGTGCCCTTACCATCACGCCCTGCCACCTGCCAGCCCCGGGCGGTGTGAGTTTTAAGTCACAGGATCAGGGACTCGAACTGCGGTTGATGACATGGGAGTCCAGTGACATAGCCATTATACCATCTGCTAGTCCTGAACATAGAGCTTTAAAGAAAAGTTTTAATTCAAAGCCATTAAATGTAAAAAATATAATCTATGGTAAGATCAATGTGTATTTCAGAATTCCTCTAATATTTCATTTCAGTGAGTTTACTGTTTAGAATTGAAAGTATATAATGTCACAATCTTTGGATAAATGTACAATCTCAACCCTTCTTATATTTCTTTGTAGAAGTATTTCCTGAGATGCAAGTTTCAGAGGCTGACCACGACTGGGTCATTTTAAACTTGAATATGACTGGTTACTATAGAGTTAATTATGATAAATTAGGCTGGAAGAAACTGAGTCAACAGCTCGAAAAAGACCCTAAGGTAAAGTTATCTTGAGATTTAATGAAATGTCATTATGAATGCACTCTCGAACCTTTTGGGGGATGAGCTCACTGGTGAAAATAACTCCTGCCTCATTCCCAGGCATAGTGGAGAGGTTTTATTTGTTTATTTATTTTTTTAATTTTTTTATTTTTTGGAGAAGTTTTTGCTATAGTGTGCATGTGCTCACCATAAAGACAGAGAAAGACAGAGAGACAGAAAGTGAGAAATCACCCCCCAGGAGGGATGGCAACACCACAATCCCTTCTCCTCCATTCTCCTCTCGGGATCTTGGGCATGCACACACACGTGCCCAGCATGAGTTTAAGTCACTGAGTCCGGGACTTGCACCGTGGTCGACTACATGGGAATCCAGCGACACAGCCATTACACCAACTGCTGGTCCCGAGGTTTTATATATTTTTTATTTTATTTTTAAATTCTTAGAAAGGGGAGATTCTAGGTGAATGTATTGTGTTTTAATATTGATCTTGCTTTTCCCAAAAAAGTTTTATCTTTCCAGATAAGAGCAGAATACATTTTGCCTTTTAATCATGAGTTTTGGGATGTTTGCCAAGTTACTTAAACATTCTGCCCCATTTCCTTGCTTTAAAATGAGATTATTATTGTATCTTACTCATTAGGAGGCTTAGAGATGATGTAGGTAAAAATACCCTTAAATTCTGTAGGCCCTTTGAAGGTCCTTGCTATGTGCTAGGAGATACTAACTTCATTCCTAGAAACAGCCCCACTCTCCTTCAGAAGAGACCATGTAAGTCACAAAGTATCGCCAGTAGTTCAGTATCACTTTTCATTATGAAACAACTATAAATCATTATGCAGTGTGTAAATATTGAATGATCAGCGCTAATCGATCGGCCAGTTGGTTGAATTAAACTGAGTCTCCGTTGGTAAGGCGACCCTGGCTTCGGCGTAGACACACCTGGCTATGCTGTGCTGTAAACCCTTGGGCATTCACTTAGACCCCTGCATACACGTGGAGGGGAAGAGAGACGGTGTCGTAAGTGTCTCTGTTCAACGTTCCCAGAGACACAGCGTCCTCTCCGGTAGAGGAACAGAGCGTGGGTTCCGGGGCCAGATGGACTTGCAGTCATGTTTTGTTCATTGCTTGCCAGGAGTGTGGTCTTGGGCCTTCCATTTGACCAGTTGTGCCTCAGTGTCTTTAACCGTTTAATCATGGCTGTGACAATTCGGTGTAAGGGTTGTGAAGATTAAGATAATACATGTATTATATTTAACAGAGGCCCGATACGACGCAGCCTCTCAGAACATGTTCAGAACTTTTTATACAAAAAGCCATTCATAGGGGCCAGCAAACAGTGTGGTGGTTGAGGCACTGGACTCTCATGTGGCCCTCTGTGGTTTAAGTCCTGGACCTGGTAGCCCAAAAATCGAAGAAATAGATAGATGATAGAGATAGATAGATAGATAGATAGATAGATAGATAGATAGATAGATAGATAGATAGATGATTTTTAAAAAATTTCTAATTAAAGAACATTTATAATAATATTTTCAAGTCTTTCTCAGAGTGAGCAAATTCTTATTATTTTTTCATTTTAAACAAGTTTATTTAAACAACAAGATGCTTGACTTGAAGGGAAAACTACTTAGGATTCCTTTTTTTTTTTTCTTCATTAAAAGCCATTTACCCCTACTTAAAGACAGATTGCCCTACAAGTAAGCTATGTACAAAAAGTTATATAATTGTCCGTGGTTTTACAATGATAAATGAAAAACATTAAAATTCTCGGATCAAAGAAGGTATGCAAAGATTTTTATGTTTTCCACGGTTAAAGCAGTGAGAGCGAAATGACTCACCCCAGTAGAAAGACTGCAGCTGAGGGAGCGTGCCACCAGTGGGGAAGGGGCTGTTTTCACAGAGCCATCCTATCTCCCCGTGTTCTCTGTCCTGTCTCCCCGTGCTCTCCATCCTATCTCCCCGTGCTCTCCATCCTATCTCCCCGTGCTCTCCATCCTATCTCCCCGTGCTCTCCATCCTATCTCCCCGTGCTCTCCATCCTATCTCCCCGTGCTCTCCATCCTATCTCCCCGTGCTCTCCATCCTATCTCCCCGTGCTCTCCATCCTATCTCCCCGTGCTCTCCATCCTATCTCCCCGTGCTCTCCATCCTATCTCCCCGTGCTCTCCATCCTATCTCCCCGTGCTCTCCATCCTATCTCCCCGTGCTCTCCATCCTATCTCCCCGTGCTCTCCATCCTATCTCCCCGTGCTCTCCATCCTATCTCCCCGTGCTCTCCATCCTATCTCCCCGTGCTCTCCATCCTATCTCCCCGTGCTCTCCATCCTATCTCCCCGTGCTCTCCATCCTATCTCCCCGTGCTCTCCATCCTATCTCCCCGTGCTCTCCATCCTATCTCCCCGTGCTCTCCATCCTATCTCCCCGTGCTCTCCATCCTATCTCCCCGTGCTCTCCATCCTATCTCCCCGTGCTCTCCATCCTATCTCCCCGTGCTCTCCATCCTATCTCCCCGTGCTCTCCATCCTATCTCCCCGTGCTCTCCATCCTATCTCCCCGTGCTCTCCATCCTATCTCCCCGTGCTCTCCATCCTATCTCCCCGTGCTCTCCATCCTATCTCCCCGTGCTCTCCATCCTATCTCCCCGTGCTCTCCATCCTATCTCCCCGTGCTCTCCATCCTATCTCCCCGTGCTCTCCATCCTATCTCCCCGTGCTCTCCATCCTATCTCCCCGTGCTCTCCATCCTATCTCCCCGTGCTCTCCATCCTATCTCCCCGTGCTCTCCATCCTATCTCCCCGTGCTCTCCATCCTATCTCCCCGTGCTCTCCATCCTATCTCCCCGTGCTCTCCATCCTATCTCCCCGTGCTCTCCATCCTATCTCCCCGTGCTCTCCATCCTATCTCCCCGTGCTCTCCATCCTATCTCCCCGTGCTCTCCATCCTATCTCCCCGTGCTCTCCATCCTATCTCCCCGTGCTCTCCATCCTATCTCCCCGTGCTCTCCATCCTATCTCCCCGTGCTCTCCATCCTATCTCCCCGTGCTCTCCATCCTATCTCCCCGTGCTCTCCATCCTATCTCCCCGTGCTCTCCATCCTATCTCCCCGTGCTCTCCATCCTATCTCCCCGTGCTCTCCATCCTATCTCCCCGTGCTCTCCATCCTATCTCCCCGTGCTCTCCATCCTATCTCCCCGTGCTCTCCATCCTATCTCCCCGTGCTCTCCATCCTATCTCCCCGTGCTCTCCATCCTATCTCCCCGTGCTCTCCATCCTATCTCCCCGTGCTCTCCATCCTATCTCCCCGTGCTCTCCATCCTATCTCCCCGTGCTCTCCATCCTATCTCCCCGTGCTCTCCATCCTATCTCCCCGTGCTCTCCATCCTATCTCCCCGTGCTCTCCATCCTATCTCCCCGTGCTCTCCATCCTATCTCCCCGTGCTCTCCATCCTATCTCCCCGTGCTCTCCATCCTATCTCCCCGTGCTCTCCATCCTATCTCCCCGTGCTCTCCATCCTATCTCCCCGTGCTCTCCATCCTATCTCCCCGTGCTCTCCATCCTATCTCCCCGTGCTCTCCATCCTATCTCCCCGTGCTCTCCATCCTATCTCCCCGTGCTCTCCATCCTATCTCCCCGTGCTCTCCATCCTATCTCCCCGTGCTCTCCATCCTATCTCCCCGTGCTCTCCATCCTATCTCCCCGTGCTCTCCATCCTATCTCCCCGTGCTCTCCATCCTATCTCCCCGTGCTCTCCATCCTATCTCCCCGTGCTCTCCATCCTATCTCCCCGTGCTCTCCATCCTATCTCCCCGTGCTCTCCATCCTATCTCCCCGTGCTCTCCATCCTATCTCCCCGTGCTCTCCATCCTATCTCCCCGTGCTCTCCATCCTATCTCCCCGTGCTCTCCATCCTATCTCCCCGTGCTCTCCATCCTATCTCCCCGTGCTCTCCATCCTATCTCCCCGTGCTCTCCATCCTATCTCCCCGTGCTCTCCATCCTATCTCCCCGTGCTCTCCATCCTATCTCCCCGTGCTCTCCATCCTATCTCCCCGTGCTCTCCATCCTATCTCCCCGTGCTCTCCATCCTATCTCCCCGTGCTCTCCATCCTATCTCCCCGTGCTCTCCATCCTATCTCCCCGTGCTCTCCATCCTATCTCCCCGTGCTCTCCATCCTATCTCCCCGTGCTCTCCATCCTATCTCCCCGTGCTCTCCATCCTATCTCCCCGTGCTCTCCATCCTATCTCCCCGTGCTCTCCATCCTATCTCCCCGTGCTCTCCATCCTATCTCCCCGTGCTCTCCATCCTATCTCCCCGTGCTCTCCATCCTATCTCCCCGTGCTCTCCATCCTATCTCCCCGTGCTCTCCATCCTATCTCCCCGTGCTCTCCATCCTATCTCCCCGTGCTCTCCATCCTATCTCCCCGTGCTCTCCATCCTATCTCCCCGTGCTCTCCATCCTATCTCCCCGTGCTCTCCATCCTATCTCCCCGTGCTCTCCATCCTATCTCCCCGTGCTCTCCATCCTATCTCCCCGTGCTCTCCATCCTATCTCCCCGTGCTCTCCATCCTATCTCCCCGTGCTCTCCATCCTATCTCCCCGTGCTCTCCATCCTATCTCCCCGTGCTCTCCATCCTATCTCCCCGTGCTCTCCATCCTATCTCCCCGTGTCCTCCCATCCTATCTCCACGTGATGTCAATCAAAACGTATCCTTGGCCATTTAGCTTCTCAAAGTGCGATCTGCATGTGCGCATACCCCGGTTTCTTTGTGTACAGCGAAGGAATGGGGAAGGGAAAATGCATGACTAGAGAAAGCTGTACAGTGGAGCTCAGGATGTGGGGAAACCAAATGTGGTTTTCCAATGGAGAATGTGTTCCTGGTCTGTCAAAGCAGTTCTGAGGAGGTCTGGCTCCCCTGTGGGCAGACACCTCCCGTCTGCTGTTGGACACGTCAGTGTCTCTTCGCCCTCCAGCTCCAGCTGTGCAGGTGTGTCTGCTTCATTGATCGGCTCTCCTCAAACTGGAATCTGATCTGCCTCATTGACAAGCCCTGTCATTCACAACGGGCAAAAATGAGCTTACTGAGTGGTGCACGCCTCTTCATCCTAAACTGCACCACAGAACCATCCTGCCCCTCCACCGTCAGGCTAATAGGATTGTTGTTCTCAGTCTTGACTCCTTCCTTGGGCTTTTGTCCACCTGGCGAGCGTGGGTGTCTCCTCAGCTGCTGCTTCACAAAAGAGGGACCAGGTCCTCACTGACCAACACACAGGCAGTGCCGGGCGCGGCCTAAATTCTTCCCAGTTTCGAAGGGTGCTCCAAGCCATGGACGTGCTCGGTCATGCCATTACAGTGCCATTTCTTTAAACCAGTGTAGATGTACTTAGTGAGAAGCTGAGGTAAGTCATTTCTACAACATAACTGGTTAGCGAGTAAAAAGGAATCTTTGCTATTAACGTTAATCTGGGAGATGTTAGTGTTATTACTGCCAGAAATGAGATACTCCCAGGGAAGACTTTAGCCGGCTTGCTCAGATGCTCACAGGGACATTGTGAAGAGAAATGTTCTAGAACCAAGTATACGAAAGTCTGGGAGGGGCTGAAGGAGCGGTGGAGGAGGCTTTGGGCACCCTCGGGAATGAGGCTGGAGCCAGCCTGTAGCATGGTGCCTAAGGCAGCTGGGTCCTGCGTGGCCATCCACGTGCTTCAAGTCCGACTGAACTTGAGAAGTAATGGCCAGCACACGTGTGCACGCCCAGAATCCTGAGCAAAGGGAGGCATGAAGCAGGGATTGTGGCACGACCATTCTTCATGGGCGGTGCTTTCTCCTTCTCTCTCTCTCCTTCCCTCTCTCTGGCAAGCACACATTCCCTCTGGCAAAATTAAAAAAAAATACAATACCTCTACTACCCAAAATAGTAATAATATTTATTTAAGGCCAGTTATGCCAAAAAACTCCCTTGAAAATAATTTTGATATTGTAATAATTTTTTTTAACTTGCTAGAGGGCACATGCACTCACCAGAGAGATAGAGAGAGAGGAAGAGGGAGAAAACATCCTCCGATGAGATGTGATCACAGTCGCTTCTCCTCCATTTCTTTTGGGATTTGGGGCATGCACACACCCATATAGCATATGTTTCCTTTCTTTTTTTAAAGGAAATTTTTATTTATTTATTTTTTTTGAGAGGTTTTTGCTATAGGGTGTGTGCGCTCTCCAGAAAGACAGAAAGAGACAGAGAGACAGAAAGCGAGAAATCACCACCCAGGGGGGATGGCCACGCCACAATAACTTATCCTCTATTCTCTTCCTGGGATCTTGGGCATGCATGCACACGTGCCCAGCATGAGTTTAAGCCAGTGGGTCCGGGATTCTAACCGTGGGTGACTACATGGGAGTACAGTGACATAACCATTACGCCAACTGCTGGTCCCTTAAAGAACTATTTTTATTTAACTTTATTTTAACTTGACCAGAAAGGGACAGAGAGAGAGAGAGAGGGAAAGTGAGAAAGCAAGCTGCCAGTCCAGGACATGAAGTGGCTGGCCATATGGGAGTCCAGCACACTTAACCACCATGCCACCTGCCAGCCTGCCTAGCATATTTTTCAAGCCACCAGGGCCAGGATTCGAGCTGCATGGTTGGCCATATGGAATCTAGCTGCCCCAATCACTAGGCCACAGGCCGTCCCAGTAATCGAATTTGAATTACACCTTCTTGATTGCCTGTTTTATTTTTAAACGTGATATGTTTCAGGGAGCATTTTGGTAAAACTTTCTGCCATGTTGAAGCTTTATGATCGATGTCCAGAGGGATCATTTATTAAAATCACATGTATAATATTAATAAATAAATTATGGGAACTGTCCTTAGTAGTTATCATTTCTCTGCAGATGAGATAACTCATGTGAAGATACCTTGCAATGTTCTTTAAGCTGTTATTGCGGAAGGTTTTTAATGAAAAAAACTGTTCTCCCCTTTTCCTACATGTACCCGACCCCCGTTCTGCAGGCTATCCCTGTCATTCACAGGCTGCAGTTGATCGACGATGCCTTCTCCTTGTCAAAGTGAGTGCGTTTTCTTCTGCTGCCATTCTGGAGTCTACTCTGAGAACTTCATAAAAATAATAGCCTATGCTTAGGAATTCGGATCTTTAGTAGGTGTGGTCATTTAAATGATTGAGATTAGAATCAAATTTCTGGGACCAGCAGGTAGTGTAATGATTACGCTGCTGGACTTCCACATGGCCGACCATGGTTCGATTCCCGGACCCAGTGGCTTGAAACTCATGCCAGGTGCATGTGTGTACTTTCCCAAAATCCCCAGAAGAGAATGGAGGAGAAGGGATTGCAGTGTGGCCATCCCCCCTGAGGGGGGGGGAGGTGATTTCTCGCTTTCTGTCTCTCTGGCAAGTATATGTGCCCTATAGCAAAAATCTCTCTAAATGGAAAAAAAAAAAAGAATCAAATTTCTGTAGTCTTAGTAAAATTTTATAATATGAAGAGTTTTTGGAAATAAACAGACTATCAATTGAGATTTTGAAGTGATTTCTATTACTCAAGGGTGATGACTGTAGGTATAATTTTAATAAGATATGGCCTTATTTTAATATGCATATGACAGAATTATTGATATTATTTATTATATTTACTCAATGTAAGCTTTTTGCTAAGTATTTAACCAGGTAAATTAATATGTGTCGGGATTTAAGTTTTCCAGCAATTCAATGAAGGAGTCTGTGTAATAAATTACGCAGTGTGTTCTGTCTGGCTGTCCCAGTTCTGGAGTAATGTCTGCCTGCTTACCCTGCATTTGGTCCTGCTTTTCCCTCTGTGACTTGCAGCACATTTCCGTGCCCAAGACTGTGCTGGAACTCCTCCGTAAGGTCACCATGACCTCAACACTCTTGACCACATCTTCCCGAAACTTCCTTGTTGACTTCCTGAGACTCCAATGTGCAAACTCCATTCTCTTTGTGTGTTTGACTTCTCTTCTTCCTCCTGCTGTAAGCATTCTTTTTTTTTTTTTTTTTTTTTTTTTTTTTTGGAGAGATTTTCACTGTAGGGCGCGTGCGCTCGCCAGACAGACAGAGAGAGACATAGAGACAGAAAGCGAGAAATCACCCCCCAGGGGGGATGGTCACGCCGCAATCCCTTCTCCTCCATTCTCCTCTCGGGATCTTGGGCACGCACGCACACGCGCCCGGCGTGAGTTTTAAGCCACCGGGTCCGGGACACGAACCACGGTCGACTACGTGGGAGTCCAGCAACATAGCCATTACGCTAACTGCTGGTTCCCGCTGTAAGCATTCTTAAGACCAGCTGTGTTTATGTCATTTTCTTCCCTTTCTTTCAAATAACTCATTCATTCTTGTGGCTTAGGTGGCGGTTTCAGTACGTGTCTGTCCAGTGCCCAGCAGACATATTCAAGTAAACGCCCGTGGGAGGACGCGTCGACATCTTCTAACCTACACTTCCACTTGGTTCTCCTGTCTTGTGTTTACCCTGTGGCCATCTAAATTCAATGCCTTCAACACCGGTCTCTCTTTCTCTCTCTAAATTGCTCTTGCTTTCTGTTCTCTCTCTGTGTCAAAGCTACCACTGTTCTTCCTATCACCAATCAGGCTATCTCTTGAAACCTCAAAGGTATCTTGGCTCCTCCCCACCACCATCTCTCACACTCAGCCAGTCACCATGTCTTACCTAGTCATTCATGGCAGTAGCTTTGGATTCATTCATTCATTCTTTTTTTATTTTACACATTCAATCACTGCACATCACTACCACTTGTAAAATGAATTTCCCCAACATGAATATGTTTCGCACCAGTCCAGTTAAGATATCGCACACGTTGTCAGCAACAACCACCACTGCCACACTAAGCCAAGCCTTTAGTCTTTTTGAATTCCATTTTGTTTTCTTTAGCTCCCTTGTAATAAAAATGTTAGGCTCTGTCCATGGCGTTATCCCAGTGAGTGCCTTCCTGAACTTCTAAACTTTCCATCCTGATGTTCAGGGATCCCCACACGTTTGTGCCACCTAGTTCATCCCCACTTGTCAGTACCCACACCGAGAAGGTCCCCTGCCTCTCTTGGCTTGGTCTGCCGCCTCACTAACCCCCTCTTTATGTTCTTCATCCTGGCTGTCTTTCTCTTCCTCTTCCCTTTTCAGTCCTATCACCCTTCATCGCTCTTCTCATGCTCCTCCTCTGTCAAGCCTCCCGGACAGTTCTATCCTTCCCCTGACATGCCTCTGACTTTTCCATTTGTATATTTTCCTTCTTTCCCACTATATGTGTCCTTTTCTGGGACTGCTCATGGACAGCTTTTTATGTGTGAGTCTCAGGTCTTGGTTGAAGATCCCCAGCAATAGGCAAGTGTGGCATCCTAGGTAGTGTCCGTGTGTCTGCCAGTGCCCGACAGAGCATCAAGTAGAGGATGACTTAACTAATACTTCTGGGATAGAAATTATACTCTCCTGGGCCAGCAGGTGGCGTGGTGGTTCAGGGTGCTGGACTGACACATGGCTGACCATAGTTCGAGTCCCAGACCTGGCAGCTTGCTTTCTCACTTTCCCTCTTTCTCCCTTTCTCTCTCTTCCTCACTCTCTTGCTCTCTGGTCAAATTAAAAATAAATAAATAAAACATTCTTTTTTTAAAAAAAGAAATTATAGTCTCCTAAGAATCCATGCTGCTATAAATGTCTAAGTATCTAGTGCTTAATAACCATTCCAGCGTTTGGCCTGGAATTTCTGTGTCTTCTGGGAATTGGGGCACTTGAACTGGCCAAGTGGGAATGGGAGGTTTGTCAGCATTGCTTGGGTCCACCTTATCATTTAGATGCTTCTTGATTTATTCACACACCTTATTGAAGCCAGGCACTAAAGCATGGAACAAATATGGAAAATGTTCAACTCATTTAGCAAGTGAAGGTTTTCTTAAGTGTATGTGTTTTTAAACCAAACAGACACAATTATACTGAGATTGAGACAGCACTTGATTTAACCAAGTACCTTGCTGAAGAAGATGAAATCGTAGTATGGCATGTAGTCTTGGTAAACTTGGAAACCAGGGATCTTGTTTCTGATGCGCACAGCAATGATATATACCCATTATTAAAGGTAATTTCATTCTTTGTTATATAGTTTTAAAATAAATCCTCTTTTCATATTCTAGGCAGGTCCTATGAGACAGGTCTGTCCCAAGGAAATAGTCTTCAAGTTCAATATATATATTCATTATTTTTTAGCAATGGCTAATTATTCTTAGAAAAAAATGCCTTAATTATAGACCTTGTCTAGAAGATGAATATCAAAGATGTTTAGAATGAGACTTTGTTTTTGGTGAAGTGGCAGTGTGTTTGAAGAATCCAGAGTAGATGAAAATGGTATACCCTAGTTTTAGAAAAGGATGTCATGTATTAGTAATGATTCCCCTAAGAGGTTGTTAGGCAAACAGAATTACTTATGTTCATAATTGTATTATAATACCCTGACCTGTAGGGCCAGCAATTAAAATCAGAGACAAATTCCAGAAAAAGCAAAAAATTTGAGGCTGCATGTAATGCTAGAAAGAGGAGGAAAATTAGAATGAATGAGTGGAGAAGTGACATGCCATAAGAAGTGAAAAAAAAATACAAAAGCAGAAATGTTTCACTGTTAATCTTTAACAGGGATCGTAAGAAAGATGGCACAGGTAAAATTAAAGCAAGAGTTAAAGCACGACCCTTTGGACAGTTAAGGACCACAAGTAACCAGAAAGCATAGTAGGTAATGGTTTCAGGTGTTTCTGGGTCATTCAGGGTTTTGCACTTTCTTTTTCTAGTGTCCAAATGACCAGTGGAAACTTAGTTGAGAGTAGGGATGGTAACAGAAGAGAGCATCTGATGACTGGGGACCAGCTGTCGGCACAGTGTTAACGCACCTGGGTTCACATGGGGAAGGTCTGGGGTCTCGGGTCACGTCCTCTGCATTCCTGTTACATGGGCCAGCAGAGACTGCGAGTGGATCAGAGGTTGGATCCCTGCTGGGGTGCCTGTATCTTTCTCTCTGCTTCTCTCCCTCTCGTGGAAGAAAAAAATAAAACCTTTCTAAAAATCCTGATGACCAGTTCTGGATAAAGAAGGAAAAACTAAGGTAGATGGCCTCCAGGGAAATGATGGCTCAATTTAGGATTTTCTGAGTGATGGTGCAAAATACACATTCAGTACATACTGTATTTTGAGTCTCCTTACAACACTCTGTTTTTCACTTGCATTATAGTACTCAATAAATTACATGAGATATTCAACACTTTATTGTAACATAAGCTCTGTATTCTTTTGTCCAACTGTTGGCTAATGTATGTGTTCTGAGTACTAAGTTTATGTTAAGTTCGGCTAAGTTTAATGTGTATTGAGGTTAGGTATATTGAGCACATTTTTATTTTTTTATTTGCTATAGGACCCATGTGCTCACCAGAGAGAGACAGAGAGAGAAAAAAATGAGAAAGCATGGGAGTGGGCCACACCATTCTCCTCTTGGGATTTGGACACGCACACACACATATTTTTCAAGCCTTTGGGTTTGGGACCCAACTGAGTAGTTGGCCATGTGGGATCCAGCTGCCTTATCTATGATGTCATTGACGGGCCTTGAACACATTTTTGACCTATGACATTTTCCACTTATTCTGAGTTTATTGGGATGTAACCTCCTTATAAATCAAAAAGCACCCGTATTTGTTTTTTTAAAAAGTGGAATGAATAGAATCCGATTTGTTCTTAGGGAAATACTAGTAAATGTCTATCTTCCATAATCTTATATTAACGAGCTGAAAACTTAGCTGGAGAAACTTTGCTTCAGACGCAGAGTTGCAATTTGTCAAGGCCATAAATCAGTTTTCCTTATTCTGAGAATAAAATTGTTCAGGTAGCAAGGTTATTCTTTTTCTATTTTAATAACTACTATGTATTGTCTTCTCATTACATGCCAAATAGTAAACGTCTGTACAATATATTACTGAATCCTCACAGTAACACTGTAACATTGGTATTATGGCAGGTTGCATTTTACATATGGGGGAACTGAACTTTAAAAAGATAAAAAATACAAAGGTACATAGTTAGAATAAAGATAATTTAGGAGGAAGTATCTGTCATCTTCATTAACAAATGGAAATCCAGTGTTAATCCAGTGGTGGAAGCCACAACCCACACTATATTTTCTTTGCTCTTTATAGAAGTACCTATTGAAGAGACTTAGCTCAATATGGAAAATGTATTCAACCATAATTCGTGAAAATGTATTGGCATTGGAAGATGACTACTTAGCTATGTAAGTATTTTTAAGTAGTGTTAATTGAATAAAATGATTCATAATAATAGACAGTCTTTCGATTAATAAAATAAAACCTTAACACCCATTATTTATTGAGGTATTTTGTATGCTTTTTGGGAATAACTGCTGAGGTTGGTGGGCTGATATATTCTTGGAGGAAATAATAGTTTGGGACCTCAGTGTACCTGCAAAGCAGATGTCCCACAGCAATTTATAGCTCCACGTTCTCAAAGCGGAGGCCACTTGAAATGGGGTGTCTCCCTATTGGTAAAGGGCCGTGCTAAGCAAAGCTCGCTTTGACCAACAAGTCAAAAACATGGAAAGGCCACAGGAGGAAATGTCTCCTCTACATATTATTATTAAACCACTTGTGTGTGAGCATAAGTAAGTACTGCAAAAATATTCACACCACGGCTTGCTGCAGGGAGTGAGCATGTTGTCGTGCTTGTCTGGGAAGGAGGCCGGAGACCCAATGGGGCTGTGGTACCTCTGGCCCCTGTCTCCGAGGTCTGTGTGTAGAGGCTGGTCTTCTAGATTTAAGAAGGGAATTTGTAGCCAACAGTGGTACAAGGTTACATGACAACTCATAGTCAGCATCAGCCTCGAGCCCATCAGACTATGCAGGCAGAGACGCATGCCACCTGTGATTGTGCAGGGGGGAGTAGGGGAAGACGGCGAGCACTAGCTGGGAGTGTGTAGGCAGGTCGTGTGAGCCAGTGGAGAGGCGGCGTGTCCTCGAGCACTAGCTGGGTGTGTAGGCAGGTCGTGTGAGCCAGTGGAGAGGCGGCGTGTCCCCGAGCACTAGCTGGGCGTGCGTAGGCAGGTCGTGTGAACCAGTAGAAAGGTGGTGAGTCCCGGCGGCAGCACGGCTATATCCTCAGCTCTCCTGGTTTGTACTGTGACCTCTGGGTCCAGTCTTGGAGAAACCTGGAGGACTGAACTGCACTTCCACAGAGCTGTAACCTGCTGCAGCCAGCCTGGGGGCGGGTCGTGGGGAAAAGGAGCGAGTATGCAAGCGGATGCTCAGAGCTGTCTCTCCGAGGACCTCCACCCTGGAACATTCCACTTCAGCTTATCAGAAGGTCAGGTCAGCTGAGGTTGATCCGGAGGGTAGAGCAACAGAGACTGGGCTCTTGGATTTTCCAGAAATTTCAGGCCAGTTTGAGTTCCTTTACTCCTGGCTCCGAACTTGGAGAGCACAGGAAGGCACACTGCAAGGCACTGCTTACCTGGATTCACTGCTCTTCACTGTACCCTTTTGACTCACTTTGTTTTCACCTGTATTGTGTACACCTGCTCAGCTGTAAAAATGAACCAAACCAAACAAAGACCTCTATTTCTTTTTCTGAATGGGTATATAACAGCTGGAAGGGGTACGGGAAGAACCAGATGCTTAAGCAAGAGGAAGAAAAATGTTGAAGGGGAGAAATAAAGCAAGGCCTCTGCTTTTCTTACATAGAGAAAGAACCTCATGTTTAGGTATGAGATCAGACCCTCTGAAGTCATTTCCTTCACATTGCACAATAAGGCGACTTTTGTCAAAGAGAGGAAGAGTCAGCTGACAGCAGATGCGGAGTGCGCACGCCCACGTGCGTTTGAGCGATGAAGGGTGGCAGTCCTTTATTTCTATCTTTCAAAAAGTACTAGTCTTAGGAGCTATTTTTGGTGCCAGAGAGCCTCCCAGCAACTATTTCTCTGAATATTAAATATATTTTTAGTCCACAGAAGCTATTTTTAATAAACCTGCTGCTATTGGAAGGATATTTTAAAATATCCACCCTTTCATGAGCACACATTCTTGGCAGCAGAGGAAATGAAGGTGATGATACAAAATAAACTGTTCTTCTTTGACTTTTGTCTTAAGAATATCACTAGAAAAAGTTTTTGAAACTGCCTGTTGGTTGGGCCTTGAAGACTGTCTCCAGCTCTCAAGAGAACTCTTCAGAAAATGGATGAATAATCCAGAGATTGAGTAAGAAGAATACTGTAATTCCCTGGGTTTTGCTCTGTTGGTACTAACGCTTTCTCAGCTTCTTGGTGACTTCACTGTAGAACTGATCGTTTTGCTTTCACTTGGTTCATTTATCTCCTATTATTCTTCTCAGAAGTCCTTTTGTTTGTTTGTTTTTGCCTTCGGATACATGCATTTGCTGGAGAGAGACAGAGACGGTGAAGGGAAAGCGAGAAATCACCCCCTGGGGGGATGGCCATGCTGCAGTACCATCTCCTCCATTCTCCCCTTGGATTTTGGTGCCTAGCATGATTTTCAAACCACCAGATCTAGGACTCAAACTGTGGTTGGCCATGTGGGAGTCCAGAGCTTTAACTACCAAGCCACCTGCTGAGCCCCAGAAGTCCTTTTTTAAAAAAAAGGAAAAAGAAAGAAAGAAAAAGTCTAATATGGGTCTGTGCATAACTAGGGGAGATCAGAACTCCTGCAGTGAGTGGTCGCCCCCCCATTGCGTGTGCTCTCCCAACACACACTTTAGTTCTCTCTGCATGCTGTTCATGGTCATAGATCGGTCTTTGTTATTGTTAAGATCAGAGCATCTCTCTCTCTTTCTCTCTCTCGCTCTCTCTCTCTCTATTTGCAATCTCACTGAGCTGAAACTAAGACTGACATTTTGGCTTTATCATCTCTAATTTACCAGCTCAGAAGGGCTCTTAGGAAATGTGATGATGTACAAGACCATACCGCATTGTCAACACACACGCTGTGCTGTTCTAATTCACTGCTCTCTTAAAACTCGCTTTCCACGCTAATGGATGATCTCTTCCCACGGTATCGATACTAAATGACGTTTTCCACAGTCGCCTGTCTCGATTCCTGCTTTTGACTTTTCTCTCTGAGATGTCAAGTATTTTGTCTGGATTTATACTTCTAAATATGTGACAACCTGGATAAACGTATCATTTAACTACTATCAGAAATATTGTTCCATATTATATCTTACAGAATACCTTTTCCAATTAAAAATGTGGTTTTATGTTTTGGCATTGCCTTGGGAAGCGATAAAGAATGGGACTTTTTGTTAAGCGTCTACACTAATGAAACAGAGGCGGGAGAAAGGTACCGGCTTGCGCATGCACTGGGCTGCAGTAAGGAGCCGTGGATACTGAACAGGTGATTATGGCCGTCCTTCCTGAGAGTTCCTGCCGGAGGGATGCAGTGAATAAGCCAGAGGGAGAAACTGGACATGTGCCGATAGAAGAACTAGAACAATACATGTGTATGCATGGCTAACTTAGGGACATAGGATCTGAGTTACACTTTTTAATTACCTTTTTATGTTTGATTTGTTTTACTTTAAAAAAAAAGAATTATTTTAGGGCCCAACAGGTGGTAGTGGTTAAGGCACTGGACTCCCATATGATTGACCACAGTTCAAGTCCTGGACCCAGTGGCTTGAAGCTCATGATGGGCACATGCGTGTGCCCAAAATCCCGAGAGGAGAATAGAAGAGAAGGGATTGCTGCATGGCCATCCCCCTCAGGGGGTGATATCTCGCTTTCTATTTGTCTCTGTTTCTCTGGTAAGCGCGCATGCCCTATAGCAAAGATCTCTCTAAAAAAATTTTTAATTTTATTCATTAGTATTACTTTTTAAAATTTGGGCAGAGAGAGAAAGAGAGAGGGA